CCATTATCACTGTGATATGCAAAACAGTATAGAGAAGATAAATACTACTTCTGCAAGCGCAGGGCTCTAACCAATCAGAAGGGAAGAAACACTGATTCAGGGTTGGCTGGCATGGTTCTTGGTTCCTCGCAGAATCCTTCCCCAAATTCTGCAAACCATTCCTGTGTAGTTGACAAGATAAAGGTGCCATAAAAGCAATTTGTCCATACTCACAAAATGTACAGGCCCAACTAGGTTGATTCCATTTGGAATCAGGCCCAACTGGTTTGATCCCAAAGCCTATGATCTCTTTTTTTTTTTTTGCCAGTCCTAGGGCTTGAATTCTGGGCCTCTGGGCCTGGGCATTGTCTGAACTCCTTTTGCTCAAGGTTAATGCTCTACTACTTGAGCCATGACAACACTGTGGCTTTTCCTATGATTAATTGGAGATGAGTCTCACAGACTTTTCTGCCTGGATCAGCTTAGATCCTCAGACCTTAACCTCCTGAGTACTACAATAATGCACCAGATGTGGTGTGAGCAGTTGGGTGGAGATGAATAGACTGTCAGAACTGTGCTCTGACCACTGTACCTCACACTTTGTGTCTTAGAACCTCAGGGTGAAGGGCTGTGTTTACATGGCTATGTAAAATATATGTCACTATCAAATATAGTGTATTCACAGCATACTCAGTGTGTGTGTGTATGTGTGTGCGTGCACACGTATGTGCGCACGCACACACATATGCATGTATGTGCATGCATGTATTTATGTAAGTCCTGGGGTTTGAACTCAGGGCCTGGGCACAGTCCCTAATCTTTTCTGCTCAAGGCTGACATTCTACCACTTGAGCCATAATTCCACTTCTGGCTTTTTGGTGGTTAATTGAAGTCTCTCACACTTTCTTGCCCAGGTTGGCGCTGAATTGCAATCCTCAGATCTCAGAAGTTAGCCATCAGCCAGGCCTGTCTCATATCTGTGTTTTTGACAAAGGCACTTCATGAGTGGTCAGGGGCTGTGGGCTGCCCCAGATGTTAAGGAAGGTAGCTAAAGACCTAGTTCTGCTTGGATTAAGATGCAGCTAAGGCATCACCTCAGCCAGTCTCAGGGATAAGCTGGTCTTTTAAAAAGGCAGAGTGTGACCTCTGTATGACACAGCCTACAGAACACATCACTTGCAATGTATTTCTGCCATAAACTGTCCATTTATCAAGGCCATAGAACTACCCTCTAGCTCATAGGAAAGAGTGACTAGAAAAATAAGATAAAGGACAGGATGAAGTATACAGCACTTAAGTCCCTAATACAAAACATTTTGCAGGACAAAAGGCTTGGTTCTTTCTAGCAGATAGGGCAGCAAAAGGGGGCTCTTGTAGTCAAAAAGAGGATTCAGAATGCAGCCACCCTATGCAGAGTGCATTGATTGAACCATCTGTTGCAAAGGACATTTCTGAAACAAAGAGAGGAAGGACCTGCCAGGGCACACGAGGGTGGGAGGAGAGCAGGACAAGTGGAACACAGGGAGGGGCAGGGAAAAGGCCAGAGACAGAAAGACAGACAGACAGAGAGAGGGGCCAGATGCAGGCAGATCAGGAAGATGAGTCTAGGGAGGGCCATGGCTGGGCATGGAAGGATGGTGGTAGTAGCAGGGATGTGGTAGGCGCAGAAGCTCTTGGCGAGAGATAAGCTGTCTCAGATGGTGGGCATCTTGCTTCCTGGCCTTACCTGATTCACCAAAAACCAGCTCAGCACAGAGCCCCTCCACTCTCCAGAAACAGACTCAGGTCTTTGTCACCATGGCTGGAAAGTTCCTGGGTGCCTGCCTGCTCTCCTGGTGACCCCTAGACTCATCCTTATTCCTTCAGGGTAACTATGAAACACTCCTCTCTTGATCCCAAGGGCCACCCAAGGCCTAGCTGGGAGCTCTAACCTCCCACCAACGTGGCCCGCACCTGTTCCCTCACCTTCCTTGCCTCCTTACATTTCTACACCCTGCCCAGCCCTTCTTTCTTCCTCCTACTTTCTTGCTACCTACTAGCCGAGAACCTTGGCAATGACATCACATGCCTCAGTTTCCACAGCCATGGCAATGGCCCCTAATGCACGGGGTTGTTGTAGGCTTGGACAAAGTGCTCTGTCCAACGGGGCAGTATCGACACAATTCTGAGAGGGAACTGTCACCCTTGCCGTAATCCTCTGTGTAATCTGACAGATGGGGCCACCCTGGACCCAGACACCTGCTCATATCAGGGAGGAGTAAAGGAGCCCAGGAAAGGAGCCCTGGACACACCTGATGGACACTATATGAGTCTATGTCCTGAATCTTCACTGGTTTCTCAGGCTGCCTGGCTGATGTCTTACTTGTAAATGGGACAAAGTTCTCTTGGTTTTATGACTGTGGAACATGTTTTACAAATACTCATTTAAGTGCGGTGGCTGGCTCTTTTCCACATGGTAAATAGCTTAAAGGTACTTCCGACTGTGCCAGGTTTATTAGTAAGGGTGCTCATTATCTCTTTGGAAAGAAGTTCCTTTCATGATTATGATTAGCTTGTTGTTGTTTTTTTAATTCTTGGAAAAGGTCAGGTGCCTATTTCTTCCCTGGCCCACGGAAACCCTGGGCTTTTCCAGAGCCCACACCCTGGCCCACTAACGTTCCCCCATCCATGCTCTGTTCCCAGCAGGAACACAGGAAGAACAGGGGTAAAGGGTGTTGGGGTTTTATAGGGGAAAATGGCTTCACATCTGCCTTTGCTAGAGGACATTTCACTCTATCCTAGAGGCAGACAGGCCTCATGCAGCTAAAGGCAAGGGAGGGCAGAATAGCATTTTCAGCATTCATGGCCAACCAGAAGAAAGGTTGACAAGTCGGGGGGACTAAAGGCCTTACCTGTTCCCATGCTAACAATAACAGATAACCTGGGATTTTCCCACAGGTTCCCTCTTAGGGTTTCACTTGTCCTTGAGATGCTCAAACAATGAGCTGAAGAAAACGTCCTCCTGATGCTCCAGCTCCCCTAAGAGGATGGAAAGCTTACCAGTGGCCACCAGTGTGCTATCTTTGGCAGTTTCTTTAGCGTTTTCTTTCCTTTTTTTCTTTTTGGTACTAAGGTTTGAACTTAGGACCTTAAGCTTGCTAGAAAGGATCTCAACCCCCTCAGTCACATCTCCAACCCTTTCTGGCTTTAGTTATTTTAGTTATTTTTTTCAGAAAGTATCTTATATATTACCCATGCTGCCCTGAACCATACCTACAGCTTCTTGCATAGCTGGGATGATGGCTCTGGACCACCATGCTCAGAATATAGATTGAGATGGGGGCCTCGTTATCTTTTGTGGGGGGATGGCTTCAAATCATAATCCCCCCAATCTCTGCCTCCCAGGTGGCTGGGATTACAAGAGTCTAACAGTCCTGGTTTTTCCATGCACCTTCTGTTATTTACCCATTTGATGTCATTGACTCATTCAGCATCATTCACTTACTTGCCAAATGATTATAGCCTAGTAGATTACCCAATCCCTGATGCTTTTATAGTAACACATTGATATTAGACATTGATGTTTAGATAGAAGCTAGGGACCCATAGCCTGTCTACCCTGTGTCACATTTCAAGGCTTTGGACAATTCAAAGCACATACGGCCAGGTGCTGATGGCTCACACCTGTAATAATAGCTACTCAGAAGGATGATATCTGAAGATCACAGTTGGAAGCCAGACCGGGCAGGAACGTCTGTGAGACTCTCCGATAAATTACAAAAAAAAAAGAGTCAGAAGTGGTGCTATGGCTCAAGTGGTAGAGCACTAGACCTGAGCAAAAGAAACTCAAGGACAGAGCCTAGGCTCTGAGTTCAAGCTCCAGGACTGGCACACACAAAGCACCTATGTTCAGAATTAAAAATTACTGCCAGGAACTGGTGACTCATTCCTGTAATCCTAGCTACTCAGGAGGCTGAGATCTGAAGATCACGGTTCAAAGACAGCCCAGGCAGGAAAGTAAGTCTATGAGATTCTTACTCCAATTAAGCACAGAAAAAGCTGGAAATAGAGCTGTGGCTCAAGTGGTGGGGCACTGGCCTTGAGCAAAAGCAGCTCAGGACAGTGCACAGGACCCAGGACCAGTGCCCTCCCCCCCACCCCTAAAACCCATAAAGACTATGTTTCTATTCTAAATATGCTTATTTCAAGGATTACAAATAGCATAGAATCCAACTCCACTCTTGACACGGCCAATTCTAAAGAGAGAAAACTGCTCAAGGGGCTGTTGATACCCTCCTGCCAGGTTTTCTGGGATCTACAGATTTGGTGTTACATGTTTCACTGACTCTAAAGAAAGCCTGCTGACTGGCAGACTTCAGGATTTGTACAGCCTGACATGTCAGCTCCCCTCCCCAAATTGCCTTTCAGCTTTGACACACCCTACCGACTCAATTCACCTTCGCTTTCCTGTTCATCGAAATCCTTTCTTGGCTTGACACTTCTCCCTGTCTGCTTTGAAAGCTGCCATGCACAATGCTTGTTCTATGCAGCACATCCCCAGAGATAACCCACTGCTGGGGAGGGGTGCTAGCTAGGTGCTGAGAGACCCGGGAAGTGTATGTCACACTGGAGATCATCGAAGCCAGGCAGCGCCATTTGTTTCTCCAAGGTGCTGCTACTGCTACCTCAGCCTGTCAGAGTGTCTACAAACAATTTGCACTTCTAGAGTGGCATGATCCCAGGAGGTAATTAACAATCCCAGGAAACCAGCTTTTTAAAAGCCTCTAAAAGCAACAGAGATGGAGCCACTGGGGGTGAAATAGAATGGCCGCCCTTCCTCTGGCATTGTAGAAGACACCTGGCTGACTCCTGGGGAGGTTCAGTGAACACACAGCCTGGCTCTATGTAAGTGGCTCAATATGTGTTAATTAGAAATCAAACCATCATCCTCATTGGTTGCCCAGTTTTCTGAACAGAGTGTGGAGGAGGGGTGAAGATCACAGGAGTTGGAGCAGAATTCCTAAGGACCGCAGATGTCATACCATTTGCCATGGCAAGGTGGAAGACCGCGTTGACCAGCATGCCACCCTTCCGGAAGTGGTCACTCATGTGTTCTAACCAGTTGGCATCCAGGCTGCTCCCCGCCTGGCCGTTCTTGGAGACCCGGAGAGGAATGGTGACTGGATAGTACTGTCGGCACTTCGGATGACTCTTCGGTCTGTTGAACAGGGCGAAGATCTCCATTTCTGTGAGATACGTAAAAAGGGTGGAGAGAAAAGAGGTCACTTACCTTGTGAGGTTTTGTGGACTTTTCTCAGGAGCTCATGACACTGACAATGAAGTTCCTTTTTGTGCTGGTACTGGGACTTGAACTCAGTGCTTCACATAGTGCTCCACTTCTGGCTTTTTTTCCTGGCTAATTGGAGTCTCACAGACTTTACTAAGCCCAGCCTGGATTTGAACCATTTTTCTCAGATCTCAGCTTCCTAAATTGTTAGGATTACAGTGTGAGCCCCAAGTACCAGGCTTAATAATGAAATTTCTAAGGCTGCATAAAAAATAAATACAAGCCCATTGCAAGTGGTAAACTGAGGCTGCCTCCAAATGACCAAGGGCCTTAAAGCTGGGGCTTCAGATGAAGGAGCCTGGGGCTTTGAATCTGGGCTATGCTAAATAGCTATTATCTGAAATAAATGTGTAGTTAAGCATTTGGGAAAAGGACACAGTAGACCTTTCTAGAAATGCATACAACAATGTACTTTGGAAGTAAACCCCTTGGTTGAGAGCTGGTCTTAAAAACAAATGCACAGAGGCACATAAAACAAAAATACGGCTCTAATTCCAGGAACCTCAAACACCCCTTGAACTCACTATTTATAAACTGCACTGGTGTTTCCTGGGGCCGAACCCATAATACTTAATCAAGTACATCAAAAATACATCGCTGATATGTAAAAATAACTATGTTCCCGTAAATGAGGGTTTCTGCCTGGAGTGGCAGGACGGCTCAGTCAGCCATGCAGGCACCGGGGTGAGGCTGCAAGCTTTCCCTTTACCCACTTATTGCTCGGTTCTTCAGCAATCAATACCTCCTCGCACCCAGCAGCTGGCCTGTGCCACCCTGTGTGCTGCAGGGCAGGAGTTAGTAAATAGCTAGAATTTCAATCTGAGTCTGAAGGTCTATTTTTGTGATACGCATTTAGTCAAGCAATCAGAGCCGACCCAGCTTAACCAGCTTTGCTTCCACAGGCTGGTCAGGAAGATGCTTTGCTTTCCAAAAATACCTTGTGAAATCATTAAGAAAAATCCCCCACCCTTCTTTCAAATCAAAAACTTAAAAGGTCATAAACAATAGTTGACATTAGTGAAAGAAGACAAAGCACATTTGTGTTCTGGCAAGAGATACCTAAACCCCACAGCAGCTATTGCTCAAATTTCAGTAGTTCACAATTTTAATGCTATCTAAATATTAGCTGAATTGCTTTTGAAAATAAACCTTTCTCATTTATTTAAATAAATGTTTTTTTTTTTTTAATTTGTGGTTGTCAGTACAGGAGCTTGAACTCAAGGCCTCGCATTCTTGCTTGGTTTTTTCTTTCTTTCTTTTTTTTTTTTTTGCTCAAGGCTGGTGCTGAACTATTTGAGCCATACCTCCACTTCCAGCTTTTTACTAGTTAACTGGAGTTAGCTGGAGTTAATTGTCTTGAGGATTTTTCTGCCCAAGCTAGCTTGGAACCAATATCTTCTGATCCTAACCTCCTGTGTAGCTAGTATTATAGGCATGAACCAATGGTGCACAGTATTAAATACATGAATGTTAAAAAAAATGTTGCTTCATGACCTCAATGGATTAATGAGGGAACAAGGAGCATCACATCTGATGTTTCTCGTGCAGGCATGGCATTCTGGTAGAAAGCAAGTGTTCTTGCAGCCTGTCTGTCTGATGGAGCATCCGTGGAAACCTCAGCTCCATGAGATCTGCCATTACTAAGGTAAACTCAAGACAGCCATCCCAAGCCTTCCTAATACCTATCTTCAGACCCAGCCACCTGGATCTTGGACATCTCTAGCCTGGTGGTCACCACCCACCCCTTCAAATTACCTTCCTCAGTTCACCTGCCTGACTAAGGATGCCTTTCCAGCCACAGCCAGGAAATGCTTTCACACAAGGAAAGAGGTCCTAAATGTGAAGACAGCAACTCATGATTTAGACATACAAACTTTACATACTGAGTGACACCAAGAAAAGGTTTGCAATGGTGTGTATGAAGTCAAAGATTGGGACTCAGGCATGGAGGGTGGGGGGATCAGGTGTATGCTAGTCCTATGTGCCAAGGATTCAAATACAAGTAACAACTAAGGGCTGGGGACTTAGTTCAAGGTACATAAAACTCCTGCTAGCAAGCACACAACCCTGAGTTCAAACTCCTCGACTGTATAGGTAGGTAGGTAGGTAGGTAGGTAGGTAGGTAGGTAGGTAGGTAGGTAGACAGGAAAATAGACCCTACAGGTTTTACACATGCAAGCAATTTACTTGGAAAGAGATGCTAGGAAAGAAGGAGGGAGGGAAATAGTGAGGAGAATGAGCAGCTTCCTACAAAGAAAATGGGGCTCAGCCCTATGCAGGACCTTGACACCATACAGAACACACACAGACAAACCCACTGAGGACAAAGAAGGTACAGTATTTCTCCTCCTGGGTCCCAGGTCACTCCTGAGCCATTCATTCCATGTTTCTGGAATCAATGTTCCCATTTCATGACCACATGTGAGTTGAGAAGCCGAGGAAGTGGTTGGCATTTACAGAACTTTCCACAGATGACCCTAAGGCAGCTCAGAGAACCATTGGGTCCCTATGACCTGCGACCAGAGTGCAGATGCAAGAGACTGAAGATGTCCCAGCTGGTGCATGGGAGGAGAGAGTGGGGATTTGTAAGTGGCCAAAGTACAAACACACATGGTAGCATTCAGCTACAAAGAGCAGTCCCCTGCTTGCAAAGCAAGACCAAAGCACAACTTTGCCAGTGTAGAAGGGGAGGGCCCCCAGAAGTGAGAACACTGGGGGTGAGCGAAGGGAGACAGTGAGACAAGGTAGACAGTGCTCACAGCACCCCTGCTTTCCCGTCTCCATCCTCCCCAGGGGGCAGGACTCAAGCCAGAGACAGAAATACACCTTTCAGGAAGGAAAAGGAAATGCTGTTGGAACGAAGAGCCTCCCAAGCATTTGTGGCAACAAAATGTCGAGAGAAACCTGACTTCAGCTGCATAAGCCTTCAGTAAACGCCTCTGTCCCAGGCTCTTCTTGGCCACAGTCCTCTCTCCACGCACATGGAAACCAGCCAGAAGCAACTATCCAGACAACTATCAAGCCTTGATGTTTTCTTTCTTTTTTTTTTTTTTGGGTCCGGTCGTGGGGCCTGAACTCTGGGCCTGGGCGCTGTCCCTCAGCTCTTCAGCTCAAGGCTAGCGCTCTACCACTTGAGCCACAGCGCCACTTCCGGCTTTTTTCTTTTTGCTTATGTGGTGCTGAGGAATCGAACCCAGGGCCTCGAGCATGCAAGGCAAGAGCTCTACCACTGAGCCACCTTCCCAGCCCAAGCCTTGACGTTTTCATATGAAGATTCTCAGACTTATTTTCTCACATAAGCCAGGATGGACCAGGCATTCCTAAAAGAAAGCCTGAATTTCCTTCTATGTTCTCAGCTGCTCTGGACCTCTGGACCTGAGAGGGAAGATTTTTTCCAGCTATGGGACAGCAAGTCCCAGGGGAGTGGCTGAAGAACCACTGTGGAGGGCACCCAAGAGAAAGAGAGTATGATCTTGCCCAACATGTGCTCCTCCCTTCGCTTCTTTACATGTTCATGTCCAGTATGAGGACACTAGAAGGCCTAGAGAACCTGTGGCTTGAGGCTGGGGCCGGATGGGTGTGGTTGGCTGATGGCCCCATCAATTTGGCCCTTCCAAAGAGGCTACAGGAAATAGGGAGCAAGTCCAGCTCAGAGGCCTGTGCTTGGGTGTCAGGACTTAGGCTCAAGATGGCAATCTGTATCCTGTCTGCAGATGTGACCCTGGAAAGCCATGACTTGAGGGTGAGCCACAGAGACCAGTTGGGACTTGGCATCCAAAGAGACCTCTAGTCTTTTTGGAATCCCAGTGACTGTGAGGCTCCAGATGAAGAGGAGGCTGGTGAGCTAGACATGTTGGAGAAAACAGATGGGAGTCAGACACAGGTGGGTGGCAACTGGTCTGCTGAGGTCATGGACATGAAAGCCTTCTATTGGGAAGTCCGGCCTGTGGGTACCATGGTGGGAAGGGATGGCAGGAGGGCAGAAGGCCCTGAGGCTACTCCATCCAGATCCCGAATCCTGGAGAAGGTGGCTACAGGACCCCATCAGGCCGGGCACTAATGGTAGGGCACCTCTGAGCCTGGCACCAGGACAGTGGGTAAGGCAAAGAGCAGGAACTGTTGTGATCTACGGAAATCTACCTGTCCAGGGCCCATATGATCATATGACCTTCATCACCTCAAATCATGTGAGGTGCTCCTTGGCAGCTTTAAGTAGATCCCTCAAAATAACAAACCCTGGGCCCTTTCCTCAATCTGACAAGAGACTAAATTCACCAGGACATGGGAAAGCAAGCACTGGTAGCCATGGGTTAGGGCCATTTGTTATTGAAATGAGAGAAAGGCTGGAAGGATGGCAGCAGGGGGCAGGTGGCTGGTCTAGGGAGGGAGGCAGAGTCACAGGATCAAGCTGGGCATGGGGAGGGGCAGACACTGGCCCAAAGTAGGAAGGAAGCCTGGCACCTGGCCCCGTACCATAAGCTAACACTCAAATATGTCTACTGAGCAGAGTACACTCAGCCAGAAATGCAAGTGGCAGCATGGCCCTGGCTTCTGGCTGGCATACCTTAGCCATTGGAAAGGCCAGGCATGAAGGACTTGTTATAATCATTTTGTGACAGTGACAACCAGACTTTGCATGAACCGGGCCTTCTTGCTTCTCTGGTCAAGGCTAGAGCAACAGTAATACTGAGGCTGTTCCCCATCTGAACTCAGGTATGGACCTCAGGATATTCTCCCCAAATAGGAAGTCAAAGTCAATGAGCAGGAAGAGAAACATGGAAGGCAGAAGTGTGGGACCACATAAAGGGACAGCCTGTACTGCTTCTGATGGAGACCCAGGGAAAGGCCCAGGTGAGTAGTGGCTGCCTAAACTCCTCTCCCCTACACCTCCTATATAGGAAACAAATTAACCAAGGAAAATGAGAGGAAGGAGGGAGCTTCCCTCTGGATGTTTTTAAATTGTCTTGCTATGATTGCCTATTTAAGCCCGCCTGGACCTCTTTAGGGGGCCCTGGGGGAAAGGCAGGCTGAGAGCTGAGCGAGATGTGGGAGGGGCAGCTCTGTGAGTGTGTGTACTTGTGTGCATGCATGCTGTGGGATGACAGTGATGGTGAGCGGACTTCCCAGGGAAGGAAATGACAAGACGCCTTGGGAAAACAATTAGAAGCCAGAATCAGGTGAGGGCCATGACCCACAGGGACTTGGGAGTCTGTCTTTCATGGAGGCCAAAGGTTCAAACCGTGATAAAGAAATGGTTAAGGTTGGGCACTGGTGGCTCACACCTGTTCTCCTACCTAATCAGAAGCCCCCAGGGTTAATAATTTCCCTGGAGTCAATCATGAAAGGTAAAACATCTAGAAAGTTCTGGAGTGCAGGTACACTCTTGAGGGAAGCTCACTATTAACTGTCTCCTTCTCAAGGCCAGGGTTTAAAGGGGTGGTGGTCAGGAGCCAGGACCTCTGAACCTGTACTCAACAATAAAGGTTCAAACCAGTGAATCTTCAGTCCAAGTGGGCATCTTCCTGAGCATCTCCTCGGAAGCTACCGCTCTTCACTGTGTACAAAGCTATATTGCTCAAGACAGCTGCCTAGCTAGAAGGTTCCTGAATGTGTCAGTCCCCCTTTATTTTTAGAGGTACTAGTTCTGAACTCAGTGCCTTATACGAGCTAGTTAGGTCACTTAAACCACACCCCCAAATCCTTTTGATTAAGTTTTCAGCTACAGTCTCATGTTTTTTGCTGAGATAGGTCTCAGACCATGATCTTCCTACCTCTGCCTCCCACACTGCTGGGATTATAGACATGTGACACTATGTCCTGCCCTAGAATCTAGGCTCTTAACCATTTGATCTTCTTCTCATAACTCCTTCTCATCCACAGGAACGATGGCTGGCCTAGACCCTCCCTCTCACTGTGGCATACGCCCAGATTGCAAAGAAAGGCTTCTCAGAGGTTGATCCTCCTTCTCAGGACTCAGAACCCTCAGCTACCAAGCTCAATGAGGAGATAGCACTTCTGCATTAAGAACAGGACACCGATCTGGAGGCACACATTGGTCTAAATGTACACTTAGCTCCTCTGAAGGAAAGCAGAAGTCTACCTCAGTTCAATGAAAACCAACTAGATTAGAGCTCTCCTTCAATACATATCGAAGAAGGCCCAAGGCCTCAGTTAAATGGTTGTTCTAAGCCAGGCGCCAGTGGCTCACACCTGTAATACTAGCTACTCAGGAGGCTGAGATCTGAGGATCGCAGTTCAAAACCAGCCTGGGCAGTAAAGTCTGTGAGACTCTTATCTCCAATAAACCACTAGAAAACCAGAAGTGGCACTGTGGCTCAAGCAGTAGAGTGCTCGCCTTGAGCTGAAGAGCTCAGGGACAGCGCCCAGGCCCAGAGTTCAAGCCCCACGACCGACCAAAAAAAAAAAATAGTTGTACTAATACATCCTAGAATTTAGGCAGCTCTATAATCTTTTCCTCTAAGGAAGTTTGTAATTAAGTTCCTCGAATTGGCCATTCAATTAATTTTCTTCTCAAGAAGTACTAATACAGGGCCAGGCGCTGATGGCTCATGGCTGTAAACCTAGCTACCCAGGAGGCTGCGATCTGAGGCTTTGGCTCAAAGCCAGCCCAGAAATGGAGCTATGGCTCAAGTGGTCAAATGCTAGTCTGGAGCAAAAGCAAAACAAACAAACAAAAAAAAACAGAATAAAAACTCAGAGAAAGAACACAGGCCCCGAATTCAAGCCCCAGAACTGGCCAAAAAAAAACCAAGTACTATGTAACCAAAAAAAACCACTTTCACTGTCTTTTATGCTTAGAATACCCAATGTCCCTTATCATTTATGAAAGACCAATTCCAAGTACAAGTAAATGAACAGCGGCATCCACCAGGAATATGATGCAGAAACACATAAACCAAAAGCCCTCATGAGGCTGTAAACCTGTTCATCTCCCAAAAGCCCAAAGAGACGGGGCCGATGACTACATGCTGGGTTTCCAGGTAAGAGTAGAGAAAAGGGAACTGTTGAGAGGGTAATGAACAGTCTTTGCTCTCTGTCAACCGAGGGCCTCAAGAAATCTTGTCAGAGGGTAGGGGCTAGGCCCACGTGTGTTCACGTGCCAGCCCTACCAGTCTGGGTAACGTGTTTCCTCTCTGAAACTAGACGATGGGTAATAATAGAGGCCCAGCCACATCATAGGGCTCCATGGGGAATTAAGAGATCAGTCACTTAAAAAGTGTATTGGCACAGCGCCTGGTACTCAGGAAGTATTAGTTAATGGTGGCTATATGATTGTTGTTGTAATCTTCCTTATGATGCTCAACCCAAGGAGTGTGTGCCAGGGGCCACAAAAGCAGGATTAAGGGACTCCACATATGAAGATCAGGATTAGGGGACTCCACACGAGAGTGAGATTAAGGGGCTCCACAGAGCTGATCTGAGCACAGGACTGAAAGAACTCAGTGAAGAATCCAATTCAGACCTGACACAAGTGAGATCCATGAGCCTCTGCTCTCTCCAGAAATCCCAACTGCAACAAGGAAATAACCGATGGCCTAGATAACTGCTTCATAAACTGGGCTGCTCTCTCTACACTCTATTTCCCTTTCTGTTCTCCAAAGAGGCCCTAGGGAGCACTGAAATGCTGTTAGCCTCTCTAAAGTGGGTTCGAACTCTGGGCATAGACATACTTACTCCCCGAGGGTCCATCTGAGGGGTCACCTTCTGGTCCATCCAGGCTTGACCCCTGCAGGGAAAAGTCTCCACCCTCGCCCTCTCCCAAAGGTGAACTGGAGTGTTGGGCATGAGATGCCTCCTCTATAGGGCCCGGGCTGGGTTCTGGGCTTCCATCCAGCCTTGCGGGAGCAATATCCACATCAGCAGTGCCCAGGTCCTCATTCTCCAGCGCTGCAGGATTGCCACATGTGTTTTCTGCATCCCTAGCAGGGGGCGTAGGGAGGCTGCTGCCCACTGATTTCGCAGGAGCATGGTATTGAGGAATAACACCTACAAACTTCAGGCCCCGGCTTGCTGCATCCTGGACCTGGGAAGGAAAGGAAAGGAAGGAAATAGGGTGAATATGATGGCCCATCAAAGCAACAGTGGTGGCTGGGCACCTCTGGAAGGCCTGAGTGCATAGTATTACAGTGTGAAAACATCCCCCCGCCCCCCTGGTGGGGACAGGCAGGCTGGCTATGTCTTACCTGATGGAAAAAGAAGGCACTTGGCTCACCCGGGTTGGTATCGCCACTGCACTGGTCCCTATTCTATTCTATTTTTTCATTCATGGTTCTTTAACACAAGGTCTATGTAGCTGAAGCTGGACTTGAACTCACTGTGCAGAAAAGGCTGGCCTTGAACTCCCAATCCTCCTGCCTCAGTTGCCATAGTACTAGGATCATAAGTATGCACCACCACACCAGGCCTTTTCTTTTTTTTTAAAGAGGCCAGAAAAAAGGTTCTAAAACAATAAAGTCAGAGTTCAAAAGAGGAAGTTCATTTTCAGTAAGACTTTACTTCTTTGTTTCTTTTTCTGATAAATCACCTACTTCCTACCATGGGGCTCATGCACAAGTCTATGTAACTGCAGACTATACATGGCATCTTAGGACCCATAAGACTTTTTGGTTTTGGTGGTACTGAGGCTTGAACATGAGGTCTCATGCTTACTTCACAGGGAGCTCTATCACCACCTTGGTCTTTTCTTGCTTTAGTCTCCAAGGGTCTAGCCTCAGACCATGATCTTTCTGCCTGTGATTTACTGTATAGCTGGGATTACAGGCATGTTTCACTCTATGCTCAGCTTGGGGACTGAGGTAGTCTAGCCAACTTTTTGACTGGCCTGATTTCAAACAGTGATCTTCTCAACCTCCACCTTCCCTGTAGCTCTGTAAGAGCTTCCTTAGTAGTAAAAGCTTCCTTCTTGAGATGGTAATTTTGGCAGAGTAGGTTGAGGGTGAAGGAAACCACACCTGTTGTCACCCTGGCCCCGAGCATTCTTAATGGGAAACCAAACAACCCTCAGGCCACAGCTCAGGCCCTTTAGCCCTATAAGTCCTATAGGTACACGGCACCCCCACCCTCAACCCCCAGATGTGGTATGGACATCCACAGTGTGTCCTGTGACACTCCAACTCTCTTTTTCTCTAAAAACTTGCCAAGACCATTGAATTTAAAGGTCAAACTTTAAGAGAAATACTGAAAGTAAGAGCCTTATAATAACATCAAGTGCCAGCCTAGCTGGAAGGAAGATTTTAGGGGACTTTCCCAGCAAGGATGCTGCAGTCATGTGACCAGTGAGGAGAAGGGCGGAGGTCTCAGAACTGCCAAATGAAGAAGGAGGTGGAGGTCTCAGAGCTGCCCAATGAAGAAGGAGGTAGAAAGCAAGCAATGAAATCCCAGAATTCAAAGCCAGGCCTGGCCTGGCCCTAAGTGAACAGAAGATCTCTTGGGCACAGCTTAAGGCCTCAGAGACACATATTTCCATGGTCATGCATGTGATAGCTTTTCAAGTAGAAAAACAACAAAACCCATAGTTATCAACCCTTTCATCCTGAAAATTCATTTTCCCACTCCTTCATAAATGATAGCCATCTATTTGAGAATGATACTGGAAAACTTCTGAAAGAGGACACAATAGCAAACATTTCAAAAGAAAAAAGCGGGGGGCCATTATAGTCAAGAACCTTAGGTTAGGAAAGCTACTGCCTACAAAGCATAGCTCCATGCTTCCTGGCAATATAGGCAAAAAGGGAAAGGCGATGGGTTTTGTATCCCCCAGGGGAGTATGGAAGCACCCCAGAACTGGCTCCTGGTCCTGTTACCTTCCTGCAAAGAGCAGTGACTACAGATGCCCCTCAGAAGCAGCTCCTCTGAGGATCCACAGGCTGTCCTTCCTAGAGGCACTAAACATCAGTGATGGGGTGAAGGTTTCTCAAAAGGTTTCTCAAAGCCCCAGCCTCACTGCCACTAGGGGCCACAGTGGGTGGTATCCGATTTCTGTATCTTTATTTTCTCATGTATAAAATGTGGGGAACCCTGCTTCTTTCACAGTTACCCTAAAGTGTAGGCACAGCACATATTCAGGCTGGCACAAAACAGGTCCCTGTGGTTACCATGCCTGTTTCAACCTCCTGTAGTACCATACCTCTGGGACCTTGCAGAGACGTCTGAAGACACCCAGACAGAAGAGTGGTGGCCTCAAGACACAGGCCATTTCCTGCCTTTTTCTCACCACAGGCCTAGAAGAATAGAGAGACTTGAGCCCTCCCCACTACAAACTGGACAACCCTGTTCCTTTGCAAATACTATCTAAACCTTTATCCTGTAGGCCAACAATTCTCAAAGTGCAGCAACTCCTACCTCAGACCCACGGAATCAGGTACTCTGGGGCTGGGTTTGACCAGCCTTGCAGGTGACCCCATGCAGCCTAATACATATGCATGTTCTAACGCATGAAGACTGGGTTACACTGTACAATTGGGTCCCTAGTGTTACAATGATACCCCACAGGAAGCAGGTACTTAACACCTGAGTGGATGGATGAATTAATGAATGTAGTAAATAATGAGTGAATATGTATAGGGCTTCTCCCTAAGAGCTCTTTAAAATTAAGACAGTGACAGATTAATACTTCTCAGGCTGAAACGTCAACAAGCATTTATGAAATTCCTGTGCTTGCCCAGACAACATTGTGGCTAAGTAAGGGGATAAAAAACAGGAGCCCTAACCCTCAAGAAGAGCCATCCAATTGTGAACAAACTTGAAAAATAATTACATTTGTGGAGATGGTGGTATATACCTATAACTTTAGCTACACAGGAAACAGAAATAGGAGGATTAAGGTCTAAAGCTAGCTGAGGGAAAGTTAGCTCAAGACACTATCTGACAAAAAAAGAAATCACATAGTATGTTTAAAACAATAACAATAGACAGACCTCTTGTGTCCATATCATGGGGTTCATTTCACTTAACATCATCTTTTTTGTTTGTTTCCTTTGTGTGTTCTTCCCCCTATGGTATATCCCCTGTTGTCACTGTGCTTGATTTTGGTGCCCTGTATCTTGTATATACATTTATCTAACATGGGGAGAGGAAGGGGAATAACAAAATGCTGAAATAAGAACACAGGATGACCCATTGCAACAATGATACCCACAGGACAGTATATTAGAAGTGAACTTTATAACTTCGGGTGGGGGTGGGGGTGGAAGAGGGTAGGTAGGAGTGTGGGAGGTGGGGGAGGGAAGGGATAGTGGGACAACACCAAGGGAAGGGGTAACAATGACCGACAAGTAATGTTCTCATTGCCTTACTCATGTAACTGTAACTCCTCTGTACAGCATCTTTACAACAAAATTAAAAGTTTAAAAAGACCCTATCTGAAAAACAGATGAAAGCAGAAAGGCCTGGAAGAGTGGCTCAAGTGGTAGGACACATTCCTAGAAAGTATGGAGTCCTGAATTCAAACCCAGTACTACAAAAAACAAGTTAATATGGAACAATTCACACTATATGGTAATGGTATTGATCTGGCAGAACTGGAGGTTGAACTGAGAGCCTTGAGCTTGCCAGGTGTGTTCCAGACCACTTGAGCAACGCCTCCAGTCGTGTACAACGCTAAGTAAAAAATCGAGTTTCTAAGCAGCGCATTGGGCGCTGATGTCTGTATAAGCTATTAAGGAGATCTGAGGGTCAAGGTTCAAAGCCATCCTATTGAAAAGTCTGTGGGACTCATATCCAGTTAACCAGCAAAAAGCTGAAACTGGATCTGTGGCTAAAAGGAGAGTGTATCAGCCTTGAATGCATATACACACACACAAACACAACCAAGTTTCTAAACTTTACACACACAGAATTTAGACAACTATGTTACACAAATACACACACAAATTATACACAAAAGCAGACTCTAAATGAAGACAATGGTATGTTTGGAGACTGAGGTGGGTTTTTTTTGTTTGTTTTGTTTTTTTGGGTCCGGTCATGGGGCCTGAACTCTGGGCCTGGGCGCTGTCCCTCAGCTCTTCAGCTCAAGGCTAGCGCCCTACCACTTGAGCCACAGCGCCACTTCTGGCTTTTTTCTTTTTGCTTATGTGGTGATGAGGAATCGAACCCAGGGCCTCAGGCATGCAAGGCAAGCGCTCTACCACTGAGCTACTTTCCCAGCCCTTGGAGGCTGAGGTTTTGAGGATTGTTTTTCCACTTACGTGTGATTTTGCAAACTGTCTTATTATTAGATATTTTTTAACAATGTAAAGACATTGAGAATTCCTCCATGAAAGTGGCAAGACCAGTAAGGAATGGGAACATCTCACAGAGACAAAGTGCTTATGGATAGCTGACTGGGAGGTTCATAGTTTCTCAGGGTGAGTCAGGCTGAAAGAGAGAAATTAATCCACCAAGACTGGGGTAAGGCAAATGGCAGAACTGGTGAGATCATGCTTCACCATAAAGCACTCAAAACCAACTTATTTTTCACAATATTGTGCCTGACAAAACCTATTTGGGGACTAATTCTGCCAGGAGGTTTTGAAGGTTATATGAGTTCACTGGATATATGAAGAAAAGAAAGACAGTCCATACAAAGGAAAGGAAAGTTTGTTCTGATCCAAAGCTTGATGGGATCTCACAGCTTAATGTGCTCAAGAAACTTCTAGAAATACTTTTGCAACATGATATGAGAAGTGGGGAGTCCCCAAAGATAAGGCTAGACTAGAATTCACAAGGATTGGAACACAAGTCAACACAGCCCAGCAGTGTAACTCTCCCCCACCCCCAACATTTGCACCGCAATAGCTTTGAGAATAGGGGAGAGTGGCGTCTAAGGGCAAAGTTCAAGAAATCCTTTAATATACCCATCTTTTATCTTAAACATCAGTGCAGAGTTCAATATCCTGTGCTGTGATTTGGCATATAGCATGCCAACCCTTTGTTTAAAAAAATAGCCTGAAGTTAAATGTTCCCTGCATCCCGCATCTTCATCTGCAGCTCAGCTCCCTTCCTTGGGGGAGATTCCTGAAAGTGGAGTTAATAGGTCAGAGG